CGAACATGTGCAAGGCAATTTGCATTTTTTGTTTTGCTTTACTTTTAAAATCTTCCCCTTTTCAGCCTTCTTTAGAAGAATGTCTATTTTGGACAGGCTCGGTGGCTCAAGTCTGTATTTCCAGCACTTTTGGAGGCCAAGATGAGAGGATTACCTGAGTCCAGGGATTTGAGACCAGCCTGGGCAACTTGGTGAGACCTCGTCTCTGCAATATATAAAAAAATTTACTGGGCTTGGTAATGCACGCCTATAGTTCTGGCTACTTGGAAGGTTCGGGTGGAAGGATCACCTGAGCCCAGCAGATCAAAGCTGGGGTGGCCGTGATCGTGCCACTGGACTCCAGCCTGGGCAACAGAGTGAGACTCTGACTCAAAAGAAAAAGAGAAGAGTGTCTATTTTAATATTTTTTCATGTGACAGGTTATCGATGCTGAGTAAACTAGAAATGAGAATTGAGTTGCGAGGGAAAAAGAAATTGAAAGGCATGCATTGCATGTATGGATTGTGTTGCATACTGAATTGGTCAACTAAACTATAAAAAATTTTATGAGACAGGGAAACCGAACTGGCTATGTGATGATATTAAGGAATTATTGCAAACATTTTAAAATGTGATAATAGTATTGTGAGTACATTTAGAAATGGAAATAGTCCTTATCTTTTAGAGTTGTATACTGAAGTGTTTATGGATGAATTGATTTGATGTCTGGAATTTTTATACAGCAAAGATTTCAAGATGAGCATGAAGGCTGTGGGTGGGAATAAAGATGAAATAAGACTTGTAATGTGTAGACACTTGCCGAAGCTGAAGAATGAAAGGTCATTACACAGGCACCCTTCATTCTGTTGCATTTTCCTTTATTTTTTTTAGTTTTTATTTTTATTTTTTTGCCAATTGAAGACTCGTGGCAGCCATACATTGGGCAAGGCTGTCAGTGTCATTTTCCCAACAGCATGTGCTCACTTCATGTCTCTGTGTCACATTTGGTACTTCTCACAATATTTCAGACTTTTTCATTATTATTTTGTCTGCTCCGGTGATATTTGATCAGTGGTCTTTGGTGTCAGTATTGCCCGTATAAGATGACAAACTTGATAGATAAAAGTTCCGTGTGTTCTGACTGCTCCACTGACCAGCCATTCCCTCATCTCTCCCCTTATCCTTGGACCTTCCTATTCCCTGAGATACAAAGATATTGAAATTAGGCCAGTAAAAATCCTACAATGGCCTTTAAGTGAGAAGAAGAGTCATACATCTCTCACTTTAAATCAGAAGTTAGAAATGGTTTAGCTTAGTGAGGAAGGCATGTTGAAAGCTGAGATAGGCCCAATGCTAGGCTTCTTGTCCCAAACAGAAAAGCTGTGAATGCAAAGGACAGTTCTTGAAGGAAACTGAAAGTGCTACTCCAGTGAACACACAAAAGTTAAGAAAAAGAAACATGTTTATTGCTAATATGGAAAAAGCTTTAATGATCCAGATAGAAGATCAAACGAGCCACAACATTCCCTGAAAAGCCAAAGCCTACTCCAGAGCAAGCCTTCTGTCTTTAATTTTATGAAGGTTGAGAGAGGTGAGGAGGCTGCAGAAGAAAAGTTAGAAGTTAGCTAAGGTTGATTCATGAGGTTTAAGGAAAGAAGCCATCTCTATAACATAAAAATGCAAGTGAAGCAGCATGTGTTGACATAGAAACTGCAGCAAGTTATTCCAATGGCCTAGCTAAGGTAATTGATGAAGGTAGCTACACTAAACCGCAGATTTTTTTTCTTTTGATGAGTCAGAGTCTCACTCAGTCACTCAGGCTGAAGTGCAGTGGTATGTTCACGGCTACTGCAGCCTTGACCTGCTGGGCTCAGGCAATCCTTCCACTTAAGTTTTCCAAGTAGCTGAAACTACAGGTGCACGCCACCATACCCAGAAAATTTTCTGATTTACTGTAGAGATGAGGACTTGCCATGCTGCATAGACTGGTCTTGAACCCCTGGACTCAGGCAATACTCTTGCTTCTGCCTTCCAACGTGCTGGGACTATAGGTGTGAGCCAACGTGCCTGGCCATAAACAGCTGATTTTCACTGTAG